ACTAATTTTACCAAACATAGCCTAAACATTGTCAAGTAGTAGAGTTCGACTTCCCCGAAACTAGAACGAAAAATTAGCCTAACATACTAATAACAAAAATAATAGATAAAAAAGAGAAATTAATTATCTCTCTCGTATACCGGTGCAGTCTTCCTCCGCTTTCGTCGGTTCCTCGCGTATGTCTTGTGCCTCCGTCTCGGGAAAATTTTAAAATGAGTCCCACAGGAATAGGGGGGTGACAATTTTGGTCCCGACGGAATGCATAAAATATGAATAGTCCCACAACTTTTAAAAATTGATCAAAAGTAGGACTTTTTCGCCGGATTTACTATTTCCGGCCCGGAATGCCACGTGGCATCCGACGTGTTCATATTTTTTTACAAGTTGTGGGACTAGTTTTGAATTTTCTGCATTCCATCGGGACAAAAAATGTCATCCCTCTATACTTGTGGGACTAGTTTTGAATTTTTTCCTATCTACGTCGGATGCTAGCGTATAAAATATAAGCCACGTGTGCGCCACGTGTATGCCACGTGTACGCCACGTGGCGCTCCGGGCCGGAAATAGTAAATCCGGCGAAAAAGTCCTACTTTTGATCATTTTTTAAAAGCTGTGGGACTATTCATATTTTGTGCATTTTGTCGGGATCAAAATTGTCACCCCCCTATATCTGTTGGACTAATTTTAAAATTTTCCCCCCGTCTCTCTATTGCGGTTGTGTCTTCTTTTTCTTTTTGAGATAATTATGCGTGAGTGTATGTTCAAGGGGCTCCCAAATAATTCCTCGTCTCTTCGTAGCCTTTTCTTTTCCTCGTAATATAATGTCCCGCAACCCTCACAATTTCCAAAACGAAAGAAAAATGCGTAGCTCCTACGTGTCGCCCAATAAATCTCTTGCATGTCAAGTCATTTAAATCCTCATCTTCAATCAATTAAGAGAAACTTTTATGTGTCCTACATGAAATTAAAAATATTACAATAATATTATCCATATATAAGATACTAGTGTGTGGCGGCACGGAAAAACAATATTACGATTATATTATAAAATAAATATATAGATAACATTAATTATGATTTACCCATTGTTTTTAAATTAAATTGGGTTGGACACAGTCCCACCGGATGGACCGAGAACCAGTTTATAACCAGTCTAGTTCGCTTGAATAAAATATTTGTTGTAGAATCCGTCAACACCAGTCGGTTGGACTGGTATGAACGATACGATTTCCTAAACAATTTTTGTTGCATTTAAAATTATTTTTCATAAAATTACATATTTAAATAAAATAGAGATTTATAAATTGTTTATCAATAAGTTTAAACATTTGAATTTATAAATTGTTTAGATATTTAAGTAACACATTTTGTTTAAATTTATTACAAAAAGTACTATATATATTAAAATATTTATAAATTAAAATCGAACGAACCACATATGATTTAATAAAATAAATTGATCGTTGCGATGGCGGTCTGGTTCTGAAAAATTTATATTTACTGTACATTAATAAAAATTATAATAAAATATTATTTTATTCACATAAATATTGATAAAATGATATATACATATTCATAAATCATTTAACAGGTTGTCATAAAAGTATTGTTTATATATTTATTTGAAGTTTGGACTACATCACATTCACGTAATAAAGTATTTTTAATATTAAAATTTATATTTAGGTTTAATAATCGATTTGGTCAAACTGATACATAACTTAGTTACCTATGACCAACTAAGTTGTGTCAAGTTTTTTGACTATTTCAAATATCACCTAAAAGTAATTCAATCAACCTGGGCAGTGCCCTAATTCAATCACTTGATTGATCCAAATAAATTTTCTTATTTTCTTTAAATATATTTAGTTTTATGAAATAAAAATGTATTATGATTCATATAATATATGTCTATATCAAATGATAGTATATTAAGATTATAAATTATATATCTAAAGATGAATTAATTATTTTTACTTTATGCATATTAATAAAAAAATAAAACATAGTAATTTTTAAAAAATTAAGATTAATTGATTGATTATGCAATTTAATAAATTTTTAGCGTTCAATATTTTTATTTTGAAAGACATAAATAGTAGGACCGAGATTCTAAAACTTTTGTTATATTTGGAATTGAGATTTTATAAATATAGAGACCGAAATTTAATGTGGCATTTAATGTAGTATGATTTTTAAAGAAAAAAATAAGAAAAATAATAAAACTTACTATTTATAGGTTGCATTATATTTTGACATATATTTTTGCTACTATTTTTTGTAAATGGTTATTCTTTATATATATATATATAGATTTTGTTTCTACTTACTTGTGAAAAATATACTACATAAATTCCTAAGATTCAATTACTTATAATTCGGACTACATGATACTCACTCACCCACTATTTCGTACTGTTACTAAAAAAGAAAAAATAACTTCATCAATATGGAATTAAATCATAAGAGTAACGAATTTGCTTGTCAAATGGAAAAGCGATACCACGAATCGATCGGATGCCGACAGCAGCATCCTCTGGCCGCCGAGAGCAGCCTCGCCAAAAACGATACCACGCACGAGCACAACCACCGCGAATGGCAACCCTACTCTTATCGGCGTCTTCGAACATCTCCGATAGCCTTCACGCGAGCTAGCAAGCAGCCCGACGAATTGCGAAAAGAAACCGCCGACTTGAAACACGCCGTCCCCGTACGAATCGCTTCCCCTTAAGCCGACGGCTCCCGGTTCCCGTCAAACCGTTGTTGTCCAATTGAACCGATTGGGTACTCATTTGGGACAGATCTTTGGGCCGCCCATCCCGGTTATCATGTGTCGTTGTTTTTATTCGGGCTGGCCCTCCATTACCGAAGCCGCAATCTTTCAATGAGAGTCGTAGTGCTGCTACGTACAATACTAATAGTTTTCAAATTAATGATTATATCATAAAATGTTGAACATGTGAAAGTATATGTGCAGTATATTTTGGTATTTGTTCATAGAATAAACTGTGTAGTTTTAATATTTTTGGCTTATGTTCAGCAGTTTATTTTTATATCGGCAATATAAGTATATTTTTGGTTTATGTTCAGTTTATTTTTGGTTTATGTTCAGCAATATATTGTTTGGTTTATGTTCAGTATGTATATTTTTTTGTTTATGTACATATATATACCTAGAAACATAAAATAAGTATGATACCTAAAACATTGGTCTATACCTAAACAAATATGTCTATATTTTTTGTTTATATTCAGTATATATACTGAATATATAAACCATAATGTCGGTATATATACCTAAAATATAACCCGAAAAAATGGAACATATATTTTATATACCTACAAAAAATAACCCATACACATGTTGGTATATGTACTTATGTACTTATAGATATACATAGTCAGTCAAAAAATTAAGTTGGTGTATTGAAGTAAATTCAACAGAACCTACATAACATCGAATATACCACTAGATTACCATAATAGAATAGAACATATGATAAGATAGGTTCAAAATAATGTTGGCCATCATCACATCACAATTGTTTCAAAGACAAAACAAGTCATAATTCATAACATCTGAATTCACCCCACCAGGCGTCCTCTCACCAGAATTCCATTGGCGATCCAAATGCCTTTTTTTTTTTTTTTTTTCTGCCATTAATGGAGGACTCGCGAGCCCTGGCTGCTAGTTCCAGTGGCGACAATCGCCGGCAGCGACTTCACCATCGAGGACGAGAGATCGAAGAGGGCTTCAATCTCTGGCAGCAGCTTCACGGTTTCAATCCAATATTTTTTCTTTTATTAATAACAGCTGCCCAGCGGCAGCGGCTCTTGGCCGCGCGAATTTCGGTGGACAACCTTAGTGGCAACGACGGCGGCGGGAAGTGTTCGGGGGCCTTAATTCCCAGAATATTGAGTTGGGGGGGAGAGAGAGCGAGATAATTGCGAGAGGGGGGAGAGAGAGCGAGAGAGCGAGACGGAGAGGAAGAGAAGATTATCTTCACCCGTAAAATCAGTAACATTCAATTAATTATCTCAATTAATTTAAACGTCTAAGTTTTAGGTATATTGGCAATATTTTAGGCTTATTTTAGTACAATTATAAATATTGATATAATGGATGTATAACTATAATATAATTATAATCTTAAAGTAAAGGGTGCAAATTCTTCATCAATTAATTGCCCCAAATTGTTTACTCATGCTGTGTGTCACTTTCACCCCACTTGGGCCAAATTGAACACTCGCCAACGGCTTCACATCCACAAACATATTCCGAAATACTGAAAAATAATACATAAAGCATCAAAGCAAATAAATCCATTCAAATAATAAATAAGTAAAAATAAATAAATGTGCGGATAAATTAAGTGTATAAAATTACACTATTATATATATAAAACGTGCACATTTGTCAACCTATCAGTGGTTCTGGGTTGCCGGAGAGTGGCAAGGTCGTGATCCATTAGGTTGGAAATATGGAACGCCAATGTATTTTGTAGAAAAGCTGCGTATGTATTTTGTTCTTCTATTCCACTTATTGGGCCGATCAGGTAGATCTTTCTTATCTGCGATCGACTTGTTATTTGAGTCTCGTAGTAATACTATTTTCTCGGTACAACAGATGGTAAGAACGCTGCACCTATGAGTGCGAATTTCACCGAAAAGTTGAGGAAGATCTTATAATTGGTGACCCATGATAGAAGTTGTCTTGCCCTATGTGAAAATGACAAGTTGGTCGAGGCAGGCCTTCATCCCGATTTTGATGAAACCCCAGTTGAGCCAGCTAATTTACCTTTGATATACATATATATATATTAGCAATCATATATGTAAAGGTTCGTCTTTTTCAATGCCATTGTTTTTTGCAGATATATTTTTTACCTGAGAACGGGAGAAGTAGGCAAGGATTTCATGGTGAAGCCGAAGGCGAAAAAGAAACTTGAGAAGTTGAAATCCAATTTGTCGAGGAGCAAAAGTAGAGGTTCCTCGAGCGGTCACCAGTGGTGGACGATTTGCCGATTCCCATGGAGGTCGAAGTGAGTTCTCCATCGAGAAACGAGATCTCGGAATAGGAGTTGGAGACGCCGATCAGTCGGATCGCCGAATAGATACGTGATTACTATATATGCAAATATGAGAAAAAAATATCGCTTAATGATAAATATGCGGCTATCAATTTGGATATATGATTACTATATATGTGATTGGTCGAAAAAAGTGTGTATTTTATATATTTATTAGCGTATTTTTATATGCTTAATTTTTATCGCACTTATATGTTTTTCGACTTATTTATTTATTAGATGAATTTGAGTGCTATGATATTTTTATGTTTTATTTTCAGGATATTGGTTCATTTTCCCGGGTCTTACATGGTCAAATATAATCGTTGATTTGGTGGAATAAGAATTGAGCTCAAATAGCAATACGGTGAAGAGCTTGGTGTGAATTGGAAATAAATTGTGGGCAGGATGTTGTATGGCTGGACAATCCAGAAATTGATTAGAGTTCAATTAATTACATTGATAACACTATTGGGCCTAATGGAGTTTCAAAGAGAGAGAGGATTTTGAGGGCTGAAGACTTTTGCTTGGGATATTTATTAGAGGCCCACTTTGTTTATTAAATTAAGAGACTTAAGCATCAGAATTGGAGGGCCGCAGGTAGAATTCACGCAAGCCACAGCCGCCCATCATCATTATTTATAGAAGAGAACCATACGCAGGAAAGGGGATTCACGCCAAAAAGAAAAAAAGCCGCGACACAGAGCCGCAAAACAGAGAACGGAGCATACACACATGAACATACAGAGATACGAGGAAGCAGATTAATCGCGGAGGGAGGCCGCACCCGCACACGAAAGGGGATAATTCTATTCTCTTTCTTTTATTTTTATTTATTTATTATGTTAGAGTAGTTTTTATTTCTAGTTCCGGGAAAGTTGAACCCTACGACTTGACTATGTTTGATTAATTTACGTGGTTGATAATTTTAATGTCTTTTTGGAATTGCTTGTGTTATTTTGAATAATTCACCATGATGTGTTAGTCTTATTTAGATTGATCACCTAGATTAGGCTTTTCATATCTACATCTGAATTAGACCTGCAATCCGTAATTGTTGTTGTGTTTAATTCATAAGAGGTAACCGGAAGATGGTAACTACCGGGGATAACACGGCCTAATTAAGTGAGCGAACGCGGTTGAGTTCACTACTTAGTCTAGCCTATTTTTCTAATTCGTAAAGCGGCTAATTGTATTAAATCTTGAAAAGGACTGTACAAGAAGTCAGGTTTAATCGTAGAGCGTCTCGCGGTTAAATTAAAATTAAGGAAAAATTCGGGTAACAGACCGTGTCGTTGCCTAGGGCTAGTAATTTCATAAGATAGCGAGATTTGATACCAGAATTGATTAGACGAGTCAGTCGAGGGTGTAGACGGAACCGAGAACTAGAAACTTCTCTTTATTTATTCTATTTTATTTTATATTTCCTTTGTTTATTAGGATTTTTAATAAGTTTAGTTTTTAAACCAATCCCCCCCATTTATCGCTTTTTATAGTTTCAATTAATACGAGAAAATTCACGATTTGATTCACACTCCTCGTGGGATCGACCCTTGCTCGCCACTACTACTAGTTAGTAGGGGTTAGTTGAGGAAAAATATAAACATTAATTTTGCCGCGTTGCGACGCGCGGTCAAATTTTGGCGCCGTTGCCGGGGAGTGGCGTTATTGAATTGTGATTTTTTTGAGTACTAATTGAAGTTTAATTTTTTTAGGATTTTATTTTTATCATCTTTTATTCCTCTTTTACTTGTTTTATTTCTTTTATTTTCTCGCAGAATACTGGGAGACCCCGTACTCTGCTTGACAGATTAGTTTGCCCCCATACTCTTGGGAGTAACTTGAGTTTTGGCGTTTTTGATCGAGCTTGGCGCAACTTGTGGAGATGACAGCCTATTATCACGACTTTTATACCCATCAGGCACCTTACCAGTATGAGAGGGAGATACGAGGTCCGTGGATTGGAGATCGAGGCGTAAGAGGACATAGTGGTTGGCGAAGATACGAGCAAGACTACATGTATCCCGAGGAGAACGAGTACGTCTTGAGAGAGCTCTCGTACTCTTTCCATGCGTACTCCGAGCCACCAATTCCGCGAGATCCCAGTCCATCGCTAGAGGATATGGTGAAGGCACTAGAGGCTCACACGTTGAGATTTCGGCAAGAGTATTGTGAGCCATTCGTTGAGAGAGATCCTGGCCCGTTACTTGAGGATATGGTGAAGGAGTTGACGGCTCACACTCTTAACTTTCAGCAAGGTGTTGAGACGAGCCTCAAGAGCCAAGAACTAAGCATAAAGAATTTAGAAGGCCAAATGAGCCAATTGGTGGAACAGATGGACCGACTAGCATATCGGATCGAAACGAGTCCAATGAGTTCGAGCATCATCCATTCGTACAGCGAGGACCTCGAGGAACTTGAAGAGTGCACACATGAGCCGGAGAACGAGAAAATCACGAATATCGAGAAGAATGAGAGCGAAAAAGTGAACCAAGCTGCAGAATATGGGGCCGAGCAGCAGAATACAGGGGTACCCCATACTCGACCTGCTGTAGCAAAAAAGCGTACCGTTCTTCCCACTCTTGTGCCGATAGAAGCTGAACCGTGTCCTATGTATTCTAATATGAAGTGGGTACTGAGCAAGGATGCACTGAAGCATGTCTTGGGCCTTGATATACCTTCTCTTGAGACGATCGAGCAAAACACAAGGCGTGAGTGGGAGTTTCATGAGGCGGTGACCGTGATCGAGCGTGGGTTGCTACACATACTTGAGGAATTAGCGTCATGGAGGAAAGATCCGGTGAAGCACCCAACACCGGAGAGTGGGAATTTCGAAGAACATGGGGTGGTGAGACTTGTGTCTCCCTTGAGGCCACTTCCGAAGCCGCCATGGGTTCTTTGATGAAAAGGGAGCAATAAGTCGGGCCAACGACAATAAAAAGAGGCGCTTGTTGGGAGGCAACCCAATGGTGTGCATGGTTCGGCGACCTTCTTCGCATTGACTAAGGTGAACTCGTTTCTTTTACTCCGTTTTTGTTCTTTTGTGCTTATTTGAGTCTCAACGATATATGCAAACTCTAAGTTTGGGGAGGTGGTTTCTGGGTGAGCATTCATGATTTATTATGTTATTATATTTTTGCCCCTTAGAGTTTGAGTTAGATTAATTTGCATGATATTTGTAGTGTGTGAGCGCTAGATTGCATGTACGTGGAATTTTGCGATGATGACATGAGAGTCGATATGGATTTATTGTGCTAGTTTAAATGGCTTGAGTTAATTTTATTTGGTTAAATTCTTAAGGTGTTTTTCTTTTGGGGACAAAGGCATGATGGTTGATATTTTTGTGACTTATTTGTGGTGAGTTGGTTTTGAGGCGATTTGTATTGTTGATATGTGCTTGTGATTGCTTTAATCAATGTTGATTAAGTTTGGGGACTTGAAGTTGAAAGTTGGGGTTTCTATGTTTCATAGTCGAAAAAAAAGAATAATGAGGATGGAGGAATAATTGGTGGAGTTGAAAAGCCGTTTGGCACAAAAATAAAAAAAAATAAAAAAAAAAGAAAGCATGGGCTGCAACAGCTGCCAATCTGTGGGGGCTCTAGTGTATAATTCCAATATTTTTCGTATCTAGACGCGCACGAAAGGCTTAAACCCACGGGTTGTGACGGAGCTGCCGTTCCCTACTTAAAAAAAAAAAAGAAAAAAAAAAGAGAGAAAAAAAAAATGGGAGAATGAGACATTTTGACTTTGACTAGAAACGGAAGGAAACTTGACTTGTTAGCAAAAAGAGGGGTGTCATGAGTTGCATTGATCGATGCATTCGTTATAGAGATTGACAAACTATGGTGGTCACTTGGATTGATACTTGATTGTTTGAGTTCCTTTTATAAATTCGTCTTGAGTCCGGATAAATTGACTTGAGTTGTTTGAACTATGCACATATGTGAGAATTGTGAGGCCCTGAGCAAATATTCCACGTACTTGTTTTTTTGATCCATCTATGTGCTTATAGTTATAAGTTGCTAGGGGACAAGCAACGGTTTAAGTTTGGGGAGATTTGATTGGTCGGAAAGAGTGCATATTTATATATTTATTAGCGTATTTTTATATGCTTAATTTTATCGCACTTATATTGTTTTTCGACTTATTTATTTATTAGATGGATTGTGGTGCTTTGATATTTTTATGGTTTATTTTTAGGATATTGGAGTGTTTTTATGGACGACGAGACGTCGAAGGAAGGTTGAAGCAGACAGTACGGGGGTGCCCCATATTCTGCTACCAACAGAGCTGGTACCCCATACTCGGGCCAATATTGTTCACATATTTGGACGCAATTGTTAAAGAATTATATAAAAAGCCCAATTTTAAGGGAGGCCCAAGGAAATAAACTAAAAGAGAACATCCAAGGGTTTAATACGCAGGCCTGGAGTATCATTTGGAGGACACTTATTATTTATTTAATTGCTTGGAGAAGGAATATACACGCAGCCACCAAGTCACATTATAAAAAGAAAATAGCAGCAAGAATTATAAAAGGGAGGAGAACTCACGCACAGCAGCCATAATTTTACCCACGTAAGCCAGAAAGACGCAGGAGCAGGGAAAACAGAATAAAAGCCACCACGCAGTAGAGAGCTGCACGGACAGATACGAGGAGCCCGACGAATTGCGGAGGGAAGCCGCACCCGCACACGAAAGGGGATATTCTTATTCTCTTTCTTTTATTTTTATTATTATGTTAGAGTAGTTTTTATTTCTAGTTCTGGGGAAGTCGAACCCTACGATTGACTATGTTTTAATTGATTATATGGTTGATGATTTTAATATCTTTTTGGAATTGTTTGTGTTATTTTGAATAATTCACCATGATGTGTTAGTCTTGTTTAGATTGATCACCTAGATTAGGCTTTTCATATCTACATCTGAATTAGGCCTGCAATCCGTAATTGTTGTTGTGTTTAATTCATAAGAGGTAACCGGAAGATGGTAACTACCGGGGATAACACGGCCTAATTAAGTGAACGAACGCGGTTGAGTTCACTAATTAGTCTAGCCTATTTTTCTAATTCGTAAAGCGGCTAATTGTATTAAATCTTGAAAACGTTTTTCCGGACTGTACAAGAAGTCAGGTTTAATCGTCGAGTGTCTCGCGGTTAAATTAAAAATAAGGAAAAATTCGGGTAACTGACCGTGTCGTTGCCTAGGGCTAGTAATTTCATAAGATAGCGAGATTTGATACCAGAATTGATTAGACGAGTCAGTCGAGGGTGTAGACGGAACCGTGAACTAGGAACTTCTCTTTGTTTATTCTATTTTATTTTTATTTCCTTTGTTTATTAGAATTTTTTTTATAAGTTTAGTTTTTAAACCAATCCCCCCTATTTATCGCTTTTTATAATTCAATTAATACGAGAAATTCACGATTTGATTCACACTCCTCGTGGGATAAACCCTTACTTGCCGCTACTACTAGTTAGTAGAGGTTAACTGAGGAAAATATAAATTTTAATTTCGCCGCGTTGCGACGCGCGGTCAATATGCGAAATATATTCACATATCAAGTATTATGTTGTAAATTTAGATATCTGATTAACAAATACGTGAATTTGTTTCGCATAATTATTAACTACACATAAGACAAAATCTCACAAAATTGTTAATTATGCGGTTCAATTGGATATGCAATTTTTATATCACATATAATTTCGTGAGTTGTGGGGTAAATAAAAGAAATATTTTGATGAGATATGATATAAAAGAAGTGAATATATTCTTCCCTATATATTAATTCAAAACGTGTTGAGCCTAAGTGACACGCTCACTCGCTTCAAATGCTGACATGATAAAAATCTATGCTTCGGAATGTTGTTTGTATATTAATTTTTTCCTTCTGAATTAGGCTTGATATAAATATAAATAATTTTTTTCAAACTTGGTAAGTGTACATTTAATTTTGATATTTTTTTCACTTAGTACAAATTTCCTTCTTAATTTAGGCAAATAGCAATTTTACAGTCTTCTAATTTTCTCTCCAAAATTACGATTTACAAATCACTGTTGCACTGTCTATTCCTCTTTTATTTTCATTAATTAGTCCATCAAAATTTTTAAATAAAAATTTATTTAGCAATAACTTTTATAATATATTTTTTTAACTCATCACCCGTGTAGTACACGGGTATTGTACTAACTTTTTAACTTTTATAAAAGAAATTGACCCATATATATAACATTATAAATAAACCTGTTTTTTTATATAGTAGTTGAATCCGGGTCATAGAAGTCTTTTGGCAACAAAATATGTGGGAGGACTTCTTACTGCAAAACCCAAAAAAACGGGGACTGGAAAATAAACTTCACAGCTTTATCCACAGAACCATTTTGACATGCTCACTTGAAATATTTACTGCGGCGCAAAACCTAAAAAGAAAGTTGATTGAATTCTCACCCCCCACCTGAAAATGTCCGATATACCCCCAGCAGCCATGAACGTCGTCCTCCCGGAGCAATCCCCACTACCGTTGGAAGTCATCGAGAACATCCTCAGCCGCCTCCCAGTGAGGACCCTGAAGCGCTTCCGCGCCGTCGAGAAATCGTGGTGTTCTCTGATCGACGCCGAGAGCTTCGCCAAAGCGCACTTGCGTCGGTCGCTGAGCTCACCGCACTCGAACCGGAATCTCATCAGCGGCCTAAACGGCTTCTGCTTTATGAGCCTGGCCGCGCTCACGCAGGTCAAGTCCTTCAAGCCTGCGTTCAAGTACGACGAAAAGGACGAGCACGCGATTTCAAACTCCGTCAACGGCATGGTTGTCGTGATGAGGGAGCCAGCCCGTCCCGTGCTGTGGAACCCTTTCACGGGAGAGCACAAGGTCCTCCCCGCGTGCCCCCGCGAGTTTCAACCGGACGAGCGTCATTTCTGCAGAACCACGTACGGGTTCGGGTACGACCCGGAAAACGATGACTACAAAATCATCAAGGTTATGCTCTACATGTTCAAGAGGCTCTCCCTGTGGTCGTTGTCAGAGGACTGGATCTACAGCTTGAGGTCGAATTCCTGGAAGAGGACCAACGGAGCGCCCTATACTCACCGTCATTGGCCCGCCCATGTCAACGGGATTCTGCACACGATTGTCCAGACGTGGACCGGCCCAGGTCTATCTGGAGTGCACTTATATGGTTTCAGCCTGGTGCACGAGAAGGACTATGAGGTTAAGATGCCCCAGAAAATTGAAATCGAGGGCATTGATAGTTTGACTGTGGATGCGTTTGAGGGGAGACTTTCTCTTGGCTGTGCTTACGAGTCCCGGTTCGCAATCTGGGTTATGGTGAGTTACGGAGTGTGGAACCCGCTGATTCAGTTCGTGACCAAGCCCGATGATTTCTTGCGGCCGCTTGCTTTTGTAGAAAATGGGAATAAGCTCCTGCTCAGCCGCGGTTGCAAGAGGCTCGTTGTGTGTGATTTGGTTAAGGCCCAGAATTTAGTTATGCCTTTTGAGTTTTCCCCTTTATTTTGTCTCGAGACCCTTGTCTCGCCTCACGCCTGGGACAAGGGGGAGATTGGGCGGAAAAACTTGAATATTGGCAAAAGTAAGAAGAAGAAGATGAAAATGAAGAAGAAGAAGAAGAAGAGGAACAAGAAGTGGACATGGTCTGTAGCCAAAAGGATTGGTTTTTATCATCTTGTATTAATCTTCTTAGTTGCAGTCACACACACCCACACATTATTTACTGTCTGTTTATGTATGGATTGATTAACAGGTGTTAATTCTTATTTATTGCAGGTATTAACATTGTTTAAACTGGATTTGATCATCCTGTGCTCTGAAACAACGCATGAGGTACCTACGTGGAGAATATGGTTTAGTTTTTGCATGTTGTCTTTCAATGTAGCTTCTGTCAACAAACCAAAAGAAAAATAGCTTATTATGTGATGCTGAGACTGTATCTGTTTTGTGAGTGTAAAGAGCTAAGCGTGCTAATTTCACTCCATCACGACCTATCTATGTATTTCAGTTCATTGAATATGAGTATTCTCGAAATTAATGTCTTGATATATATTTGTGATCACCTCTAATGATGCCCTGTTGATGGTTGAATGTAGTTCTGTTTAATCTGATGGACTGTAATTTGTAGGTGGCAACTCTGTGACCTGTGTAGCATTTCCCAACACATTTTTTTTTTTTTTGCTGATATACTAGTTTGTTGTTTACAATGTTTGTCACTATTGTTCTCAATTGATGTTATCTTGCATCAATTTGTAATACCCACTTAATGATGGTGGTGTTATAACCTTATCTCCATTATATATGGAGTTATGAGAAGTATGTTAACGTTTAATTATGCATCTTGTAATGAGACAATAAAGAGATCAACAAATACAATAATCTTTATTTAGTGCAGTTTCTCTTGTTGAGTCGAAACCAATACAAGGCGGTTCGGATTTTAGAGCGTGGAGGATACCGGCGACTCTAGTAGCCACCGGATTAAAGATACAATTTATCACTTCCGCCAAAGTCCTATACTTTTATATGCGTTTTATATAAAAACATCAACAGTGGTATCAGAGCCTATTTATTCATTCAACATACTTTTTAATAGATGAATATATTTATATATTTATTACATAAAAATCATTCTATTAATTAACTAAGTGTGAAATATAGAATAAGTGAAGGTCATGAATGTGTGATCATGAAAATATCTTAAAGAGAAAATAAAAAAAAATAAGATGGGAGAGTAATTAGGTTTTGTTGCCTAATTAATATGTGAATGAAGATTTTAATGTAAAGAAGATAAAAAAAGATTTTACCAATCTCTTTATTATATCTTCTTGTTCATTTATATTCTTTGATAATTAATAATATTTGTTATTATTATAGTTTTTAAATACCATTAAATAAACTTTTTTTAAATTGTTATAATATTTGTTATTATGATGAAAAGTATAAATAAATATTGTAGTAATTTTGTGTCTTCTTCTTGTTATTATTTAAATTATCTAAGTGATATTTAAATAATTATTTAATATGTACATAAATATACGTTATTCATGTTGTGAGACCTTAAATATCTTTGTGGTGTTCATATTTGTGTTTATTTCTTAAACAATAACAAAAATAATTGAATATATTTTATTAGAATAATGTTAATTAATTATATTTATTCTTGTTTGTTTGTTTGTTTATGTTATCTGTGATGATTATGGGCTTGGAGAAATTTTCAAACTCTTGGCATAAACAAAAATAAAAATGGTAATTTAATTATATTGATATCATGCCTAAAATCTATTTTATATACTTGTTGATTATAACTAAATCTATGATGAGAAATATATCCTCCAACAAAAAGCTAGACGGTATTAATTATGACATCTGACATATAAAGATTCAGTACTTCTTAATGAACGTGAGGTTTTGAAAACCTTTTCTACTACTGTGATTGAGTTAAAGGATACTGCTAGTGCGCAGTACAAGGAAGAACTGACAACCTATCAGGAGTGGTCTAGAAAGGATCGTTACACTCTATATTATGTTGTATTGAATGCATAATGACTTTATTGGAGAGTTTGAGAATTGTCCCACGGCTAAGGACATGTGGAACAAGCTTAAGGTCACTTCGGGCAAACTTTGGCTACTACGTTCCGTGCCTTGAACTTAAAGTGGATGGATTATAATATGGATCTTAGGCACTCTGTTTCAGAACATTTGCATGTCATGAGTGCCATGATATATGACTTAAAAGTTGCGGGACGAGAAGTATCTGACGAGGAGCACGTTCTAAATGTGGTTTGCTCACTTCCAAATGATTATGAGAATTGGAAGAACTTCAAGCTTCCCATGGCTCAGAGCGAGAACGTTAAGACTTTTTCAGAGCTCGCTAAACATAATGAAATGGAAGTAAAACGTCAGAGATTGTTAGTACCTTCAAATGTTGCATTTGTTTTACATGATGGCCAAGCCATGGGAAATAAGCGTAACGAGCCAAAAAATTTTCCATTATTTCTCAAAATACTGGACCAAATGGTGGTTTAAGAAACAACTTATGGCACATGGCAAAAATGAGAAAAAAAAAATAGCTTGTGCGAAGTGCTATAATTATGGACAGAAAGGTCATTTCGCTAGTGATTGCGCTGAGCAAAAAAAAAAGTACCTTATATCACTAATTCTTGTGAACAATATGTTTGTTCCCATGCATTAGTTGCTAATTCTATTTCTAATTGGATTATAGACACGGGAGCAAGCAAACACATAGTTCATGAAATATTTGGATTTGTGGAGTTCCACCAGTTTTCTATTACCACTCGAACTGTCATGTTAAGAAGCGGGAGCGAGGAAGATGTCATTTAGGTTGGAACATACCAACTTAAACTCTATGGTGGAAATACACCACTTCTGCATGATAGTCTTTATGCACCTAGGGTGCGAAGTTGTTTACTTTCAGTTGTTTTCTTGTTAAAACATGGTTTTTCCTTTAACATCAATACTAGTGGTTTGGACATTTTATATCATGACAATTTTTTGGACGTGGTATTTTAAAGAATAGTTTATTTGTTCTTGACTTGGATGAAAGTCATAATGGTTCATCACATGTTTTTGCTTCATTTTATAATGTAGATTCAGAATCTTTTGAGGCGAGGCCCTTGCCGTTGGCGTAGCGAACAATGCTCGCAGAGACGAGCTATCTCTTGAGAAACCGACTGGAGCGAAAAAGTAGTAGTCGTTGGAGGACTGGTCAGCAATGACGAGGACGAACATGCACTAGCCATACAAGTTCTGGAATATGTGTGAACCCTCCATCTCGACCAGCTTCAAGGTATGGCCTTGGCGGTGGAATTTTACCGAGGCTTTCACCTAACATTGCAGACGCAGAAGCGGTAGGTCTTGCCAGGATAGAAGATGGCGAGAGCCTCTCTGGCCATCTGACTTTCGCAAATTTGCCATTGATGTGAATGTCATCGGGGAGGCCAATGATGTTACCTCCGTCAAGGATGCGCTTCAGGGCCTTGTGACCGCGATTATACCAGTCGCCAAGGAGGACGACAAACTCATCGGCCGACCAGCCGAAGGGGACATGGATGAGGTCCCGGCTATGGACCTGAAGGATGCCCATACTGCCAGTTTCACGGTGGAGGGCGGTGGTTGGGTAATAGAAGTAGTTGCCGTTATGGTCCTTCACCTGGAACTTGTAGGTGTAGTTGGTTTCGGGATAATAGGGCACATAGTGCCCAGGGTTCCATCTTGTCACATGTTCTTTAAATGAGAACCCATTGAGCTCGACAATGAAACAAGTTCTCTAAAAGAGAAGTTGTGTTAGATGCTAACACACGTCTTTGTTGATAATTGCGTGTTGAGAAAATAGTTGAACTCGTTGATCGTTTTGCCTCTAAATGTGAACCAATCAAATGACGTAGGTGTAAGAAAATCTAGATGTAGATGTTAAGAGTGAGGTTTAGCACATAATGTTGTAACTTCAATTAGGGCATGTATGTTCTGCATAACACGATATACCACCATCATCACATATGAAATAGTCCACAAAGTAAACATTATATTGGAGTTTTATTGTATTCTCACTGCACATCTTATGCATATATCACGATTCACGAACATGATTCATTTGATAATTTATAAGGAAGTCTAGACCCGATTCAAGAATTTAAAGATAACCGGTCATCTAAATTGAGAATATTTAGTAAATCCCTATCACGACTCACGAGAGAAAAAGGAAAAAAAGAAAAAACTTGCCAGGAGTACATGAGATTAGATGAGATGATCAGATTCATCAACATTGACTTGTTTAATTGGGCCAAATATCCAGCTCATATTTATTTGGTCCAAATATCCAGCCCATATTTTGGTAATTCTAATGCACTTAACTAAATGGTCCCAAATTAATTCATACAAGCCCAAACTTCGAAACCTCATTATAAATACCAAACGAAAACTATCAGTCACATTTCTTGGTTAGGGTTCTTCACTGCCGTCACCGTCGACTGCTTCCTCTCTGCAGGCCATTATCATTCCTTTCGATTTCTCAACTCTGCAATCATGGGGTGCGTGCATACGTTATCCTTATTATTTTTTTTTTTTTTCTTTCAGGTCTTTTGTATCTTCTTTGTTCGTGGTCTTGAGTCGCGCGTTGAACTTTCTAATTTTTTAATTTGGTTATATTTATTGGCTATTTTCCAATTTTTTCTTGATTTTGTTAGCTGGGTAGCTCAAATAGGTGAAATGAATTTGGTTAGTGTGTGTATTTGGAGTTATCTTTTTATCTATGTTGTGTACTTGCATTGCACAAGAAGCTTGATAAAGGTGTGACCTTTAGCTTTTCATGCCGTAATTTACTCTAATTTTCTGTTTCTCTTTATTCGCTATTTGAATTATCTTTTCTGAATTACTATGTATTAGATTACTGTCAACTGTTACCTAACTGACTATGTATTAGATTACTGTCAACTGTTACCTAACTCCATGAGCTCTTGAAACATGCAACATATTCTATGCTGAAAATCTCGTTCTATCTATTGCTTTTCCTGAAATGTATTCACTGCAGTTTGAGTTATGCCTTATTAAGTGATTGATTGTGTTTACACTACAATTTAATAGGAAGACACGTGGTATGGGAGCTGGGCGCAAGCTCAAGTCTCACCGCATTAGGCAAAGGTGGGCCGATAAAGCTTACAAGAAATCTCACCTTGGCAATGAGTGGAAGAAGCCATTTGCTGGTTCATCTCACGCCAAAGGAATCGTGCTCGAGAAAATGTGGGATTCCCTTTTTGTTCTTTGCTCTCGTATATATCCTTCATAAGTGTTCTTTTTTTCTGTTTAATAATCGTGATATGTAATATTTGCAGAGGTATTGAGGCTAAGCAGCCCAACTCTGCCATTCGTAAATGTGCTCGTGTGCAGCTGATCAAGAATGGAAAGAAGATTGCCGCTTTTGTTCCTAACGATGGTTGTTTGAACTATATTGAGGAAAATGTGAGTTATTGTTTATTATCTTGCATAATTGCATTGCCTTATTATAAAACATTTCAAGTGTCTTTTTATGTTGATGAAATTAATCAATTAATACTGTTTTAACTTATAGGATGAGGTGTTGATTGCTGGATTTGGAAGAAAAGGGCATGCTGTTGGAGATATTCCCGGTGTTCGGTTTAAAGTGGTGAAGGTTTCTGGGGTTTCACTTTTGGCCCTTTTCAAGGAGAAGAAGGAGAAGCCCAGGTCTTAAGTTTCGGTTTTTTTATTTTGTAGTGAATTTGGGTGCTTTTTAGATTTTGGTGAGATGTTACAATGCTTTTGCCTTTTTGAGTTTATTTTGTTCTAGTTTTTCATTAGCTTATGTATAAGAGTTGTACTTGACCTTCACATTACTGTTTGCCGTCGACTTTTAGTTTATGACAAGTGCCATCGAACCTTTAAGTTTATCATGCCTGAGCAATATTTTGGGTAAGTTACGATTATGGTGCATTGGGCAAAATCGATTGGCGGTTTATATTATATGTTGAGTGGAATTTTGGTCTTAACCAATATATGCTTGTGAAGAAATTGATGTTGTGTGGGTTGTTTTGCATCCTTTTTTTGCTCGACTATTGAAGAATAGTGCTGCTTGATATTTAACAAATGGAAGTGAATGATCTTGTGGTGGGTTCTTAAAATTCTTATTGAATGAAATCAAGTATTTAACAAATGCTACAGAGAGTTACATAAACCATCTATAAAATTCATTTTAAAGTTATTTGCACGACCAAATTACGATACAATATGAAACAATCATACAAGTTCTAAAATAAAAAATTATTGATTGATGGGGGAATTTGCCACAGCAAAAGTAAATTTTGAGGGGAAAAGTTATACCTCTCTGAATTTAAAGTGTCAAAACTAGAGATGTTAAAATCGAACCATGAGCTAGTTTATGTAAAGTTTAAACATAAAAAAGAGGGCTAGAGCCTAATAACTTGGTCCGTATAATTTCGGCCAATCGGTTGATTAATTATCTAGTTTGCTAGTAGGTTTCATTAATATAAAAAATATGATATTAATATCTATGATGCTTTTTATCCTAGCAAGAAATAACTTTATTAGTTATATAATAAAACTAGGTATTTTATTGTAAAATTAGCTGTCTATTAAATTTTGTTATTATTTTTTAACAAATACAATAGAACTCATTTTATTTTTTATTTGAGGGGCAACATTTTCTATATATCAATGTTAGTTTTATAAAATGTTAAATTATGTTATTTCACCATTGAAACTTGAATAAAATTATGTTTACATATTCAACATAGATGCTTATTTTTATATTTAAATATATTGTATTATGAATGTTGATAAGTAATATTTTAGCCGTTCAGTTAGTCTAAAGTCTGTTAAAATTACAGATGAGTCACATTCTCACAACCTATTTAAATCATTGTATCCCCACATTTAGCCCGAAATCAACCGGAGCTAGTCCGTAAAATGTGTTTTTAGTAAATTGAAGGTAAAAAAAAATAAAAATAAAAAAATAGTGAGTTAATAAAAATTCTTCAAACTTCATTTTCCCTTTCGTTAGCTCCAAAATGCGGCAAAAATCTGCTGGAGCCGAAAAAAATATATCCAAATAACATTTTCCCGCCAAAAATTCACGATTCTCAATCGCCGGTTCTTTGGAAGCTGCGCACCGCCGCCGTCCGTGCTGCCGTCAGCCGAGATGTATGGGAACTCAGACGAGATTAGGAGTGGCAAAACGAGACTCCGATCGGCGACTGGCGATTTGCCGCGCATCCTGGCCATCTATTTCCCCCAAATCAGCCCCGACGATGCGGAGTTCAGATTTCAGCTCACCTCCGACCTCTTTCAATTCTTCTCATCTCCGCTGGCCCAGAAATTTGTCGATCAGGTGTGTAACATCGATAGTAATCAAGGGCCCGAAATTTGTTTATATCGTGTGTTGTGTGTGTGCGCGTAATTTTGCTTATTGTCATGGAAAGGTGAAAGCAGACGACGGGTTGTTCTTCCTGCCGCTCGATTTCCAGCAGTTCCGTAATGTATGTGACATTCAAGAATTTTATGCAGCGTTAGAGGAAAGGCCCAAAGATGCTCTGCTGTGTATGAGTGCCGCCGTGCACAAGGTACTTTTGTATTCATATTTCTAGGCACTTTGAACTGATGGGCACTTATTGTTCTTGCGAAATGACATTGTGTGTGGACTCGAAAAACACCTGTAGGTATATTTTACGAAAGAGAATATGGCAGAGGATTATGCAAGGATCAATATCCGTCTGCACAATTACCAGGAGTCGTTGATTGCATTGAAGAACCTCAAGGCTGCTTATATTGGTACTCTTTTACTATTCGTTCTTTATTTAGATATTTTTTTGTTTCTGGTTGAGGTTGTTCTGGGAGACCCTTAATTTTTATCGGTGAGTAATGAGGTGTGATTGCATAAATGGATGTTGTCACAGGCAGACTTGTCTCCGTGAGGGGAACTGTAACTAAAGTTAGCACAGTCAAGCCTCTAGTGATGCAAATGAGCTTTTCATGTTTTAAATGTGGAACCACCATGACTTGTGACTTTCCTGATGGAAAATTTTCTTCACCAACAAGATGTGATATGCAAGCTTGTAAAAGCAGAAATTTTAATCCAATCAGATCTACTGCTCGGCCGATCGACTTCCAGAAAATAAGGTGGAGGTTATGCACCTGCCCACACTATACTTATTGATATGTGCATGTTACTATCTAAAATAACATTCTCAGGGTTCAGGAGCTGCTAAAATCTGAACATCATGAAGAAGGGCGTGTTCCTCGGACAGTTGAATGTGAACTGACCGAAGATTTGGTGGATGCTTGCATTCCTGGAGATGTTGTTACTGTATCTGGCTTCATAAGAGTCATTAACAATTATATGGATATTGGTGGAGGTATGAGAAAGCGTTATGAAAGATCTTCCATCCAGTCACAATCTACAAATTTGATTTGGAGTAATTAGTGTACTTTAGTCCTAAACTAAAATTCCCGTCGCATTTTCTATACAAGAACTTAACATATAGTGCTCATTGCCCAATCAACGTTAATGTGACCCTACAACTCCATTGAAGGCTAGATAATTTTCTCATGCCATAAAGTATCAGCTTATCTTGTACACATGTTAAATATTTGTTGTATTTGGGATTTCCGAGAAATAGAGAAGCTCCAAAGTACTTTCAGTTTCATTTACAGTCTGTCATATGTTTACTCAAGGTTATTGAATTCTTTTCCTTTCCTGCTTGTTTTCTTATTCTTCTTCCTTTGTTAATTTTAGGAAAATCAAAAGGCAAGAATCAAGCATTATACTATTTGTACCTAGAAGCTGTGTCGGTGACAAACACTAAATCCCAGACTGCGCCTGATGATATGAAACATACTGACACCAATCCTACAAAGGCAGAAAATTTAGACTTATACTCGTTTTCTCCAAGAGATTTAGAATTCATTGTAAAGTTTTCTGAAGAGTATGGTTCTGATGTATTCCGGCAAATTCTGCAATCAATTTGCCCATCCATCTATGGCCATGAGCTTGTTAAAGGTACATTTCTTTTCAAATCCTTTTAATGTCAATATAGTAGGAGCTAACTACCGCGTCCAAGGTACTCTAAATGTCAATATTTTTTTTATAATGCTTCTAATGTCAATTTGTTAGAATTTAAAAGTTATAAGAAATGATGTATTTAATGTAATAAATTTTAATCATCTTCAATCACTGTTTTGCTCTATCAACTACGCACTTGAATATGCTGTGAAAGTATGCTTTGAAAATCTTCATTGCCGCTTATTCATACATTTATATATAGGTTGTTTTAAGAGCTTAAGTCATAGTTTTTTGAAAATGATATATGAGCTACATGGCTGGTTAACAGCGGGAATTACATTGTCACTGTTCGGTGGTGTTCGGAAGCATTCAATGGATCAGAACAAGGTACCTGTGCGGGGAGACATCCATATAATTGTTGTTGGTACGGATATTTTCTTCTTTTGCATTGATTTGGAACCTAATTCATTTGACCCTTAAAGTTTGTGCAGTCACCACTCTAAAGTATTACTCAGAACTCTATAATGCACAAATTTGATCAGCATGTTATTTTTGTGATTAGGTGATCCTGGACTGGGCAAAAGTCAACTACTTCAAGCTGCAGCTTCCGTTTCCCCACGTGGCATATATGTGTGTGGCAATGCCACAACTAATGCTGGCCTTACGGTTGCTGTGGTGAAAGATCACATGACTGGTGACTATGCATTTGAAGCCGGTACACTTTCATCTTCTCTCCCTTATTTGTAAAATCGATTCTGTATGAATGCCGTCATGTCTAAATGGCTAAGCCATGTTAAATGATGTGTATATAATTTAACCAAACTCTTCTTGATATGAGAACTGTCGGGCGACGGGGAAAGAAAACCCTTCTTTGCTGTCTCCTAGTCAGCTTAAAGTCTTTATTAGCAATGTCTGTCTTATTTGTGGACTATTTGCGAATTTTTATGAAGACCATTTTCACATGTAACCAGAAAGTAGTTGTATTTAAAAGTTTGGAAGTTCAATGTGCTACAATATTACGGATTGTGAATTAAAACAAGGTCAATCACCATGAGTTTAACATCACACAGATGATAGAACATGAGAAAGTAGTAGCTTGTACAAGAATGCCAGTTTCCTTTATCTTTTGTAATGTAACTGCATCCAATGATGCAAAATCGTCATGATTGATTCTGTATCTTGCCTCTCTCTAAAAAAATATGAAACTTTCTAGTTTGGGCATCTCCTTAAGAATTTCTTTTGTCGGATAGGCTGTGAGAAAATCTCCATAATTATATTTGGTTTTGTTAGGATCTCGTGCTTATGTCAACCTCAGGTTGACCGTTTACTATTTTGTGAGTATATCAAGTTTTTGCAGGGCCATCTCTTTCTCCTTGCATTGAAAATCTTTTACACGGCCACATAATTTTGGTTAAGAAATATATAAAAATAAGATATAATTTGCATTTCCTTTATGTACATATTAAGTGTGCAGTGCACTCATTACTAGAAATTTACTCTCCTTTTTTCTATAGGTGCTATGGTCATTGCAGACCGTGGATTATGCTGCATTGATGAGTTTGACAAAATGTCAGCTGAACACCAGGTTTGTCAAGCTCTGACTTCTTCTGGAGACCTCCAGATTACTTAAAATAATAAAAAAAAGATAAAAGAAAAAAAGCTCATTCTTCAATTTTTTCAGGCCCTATTAGAAGCGATGGAACAGCAGTGCGTCTCGGTTGCGAAAGCAGGACTTGTAGCCAGCTTATCAGCAAGAACATCTGTTTTAGCAGCTGCAAATCCTGTTGGGGGTCATTACAAGTACTCCGCTTAAATTAATTGACATCAATTATGATTTACTGCATGTATTTTGGGGGTGGGAACTTCAAGACATCCCCATATCTATATCTGATTGATTTGCTTTAGTGATGAACCTTGCTGAATCTCAATAGAGACTTCCAAGTGAATTGGGGCCATGACATGCTTACCTTGCCATGAAAGTTCACTCATGTTTTGTCTCTTGTTTCTT